GGATGGATGGATGGATGGCTTAACAAAGCAAACCATAAATATATAATATTGGATGAACTTTTGCATATATATTACAAATTACTCTCAAACCTTTTTCTTAACTGAAAATAAATTTCTTATAATTTTCCTTTGTAAACATTTTTTTTTTGCTTTCAATAATATTTGCCAGGTCTGTTAAAAGCTTTCTGTCTCACCGCTGGACTCTTTAAGGATGTCTTCAAGACGTTGGGTCATCCCACGTTCGTCTCCATCTTCCTCCTCACTGCTCTCCACCCGCCGGCGGATCACCTCTTTAATCCGTAGCAAGGCCCCCAAAAGGTTTTCTGCAAAGTAGGAAGGAAAGCTAAATCAAGCCTCTAAAGGGAAGGATGGTCAAGATGAAGACAAGCAGCTTTCAAAGACTCTTAAAATCACATCGAATCCACATGAAGCCTGAAATGATTAGAGTTCATTATTCTGGCTGGGGTTCCCAGCACCGAGACGCCCATCAGGATTACCCAGTCGAGCTGACAGAGATTATTTTTATAAAAAAGTTCCTAAAACTGGTGAAGGGGCGAAAAACTAAAGTTGACCTCAGCAGATATCAGAGGGCAGATACTGAGCTATCAATCTGGGCCTGACATGGAAGACGCTCGGGTGGGAAACGTTGGCAGCTCAGGTAAAGGTGTGGTCTTTGCGGTGGAATGATGCTGTCAACTTTAAAATTCTGTGAGTCACATTTTATGAATTATAAATGCAGTTTTTTCTTATAAATAAACTAAACCTGGACAATAATTTTTTTTTATTATTCTCAAATTCCTTCTTAAAGAAAGGCCCACAAAAGACAATGTTTGGGTTTGGTATATATACATATATATGTGTTTATTCTCTGAATTCAAAGAACCTTTTGCTTCGTTTGACAAAGTTTATCTAACAGGTCTGCTAAAATCTGCTTTGAGTCAAAGCTGCTAAATGTTTCAGGTTCTGTTTAATATAAGATTAAACTAAGAGCAGAAGGAATGGTTAAAAGAAGAAACCTGCTTTGTGTTGCTGTTTAAGATTACTTTAATTTCACAGTAAAATACCCTGAAAAGATAAAAAGCCACCTGGCCTGGGGTCCAAATGTGCATCATTCTTAAGTTAAGGTCAGGGGCCGCACTAAATTATCCCAAGGAACATGAATGGTGGTTAATAAGCTAACCATGAAGCTAGGGACAGCTTAAACTCCTCATGTTTCTGAAACCTTCCTGCTCCTTTTCACACACTTACAGCGGCCTGAACAAAAAGCCAACAAACCTACCTAGAAATGATTGTTTCTGTTTAAACACCTTCCTAAAGCTTTCATTTTCCTCTGAATTCGTCTCAACACGTTACTGATCTTGAAAGAAAGCTACATATGACACCACTTCCTGTGGCAACGACTTCCCCACTGAAGAGTGTTGTGGTTACTGAGAACTTTCTAGCAACTGCTATTTGGTGATTTCACTGACCAGAATCAGAATAGGATGTTTTAATTTTCCATACCAGACAATTCAAATAGTCCCAGTGGAACAAACTGGAGACTGACTCCTAAAAGTCCATACGCATAATAAATACTCGTAGAAACTGCTCTTCAAGCTCATTTTGGAAGTTTCAAGTGTACAGAATCAAAACAATGAGGCCCTCTATACATCCCTACAAGAGTTCATGCTCCTCTCTGTGCTCTCCTGCTTTTTCCTTTTTGATAAAGCTTATACTTAGAGTGGCTCAGGTTATCCTGATCTATCTCTATAGTTATGCTGCTATAGGCTTAGACTGCTGGAGGACATAGGGACCCCTATTTCATCATTCTGCTTCATTCTATCACTATTCTCCCATGCTGCAGAATCTGTTAGTTCAACCTCTAACATTATGCTCACTCAATAAATGACGTGTTTTAATTAAGAGTAATTTTCATTTAAATGTGCTTTACTGGAGACATCCATATCTGTCAAAGAACACTACTGCCACCTACTGGTTTGTGACGTCACGGTATCGGTATCGGCTGTTAATCAAGTCCAAGTTCTGTATCTGGTGTTTGTCACAACGCGCTATTATCCAAGTCATCTTGAAAACATTCTTCTTCCAAATGTTGGCTACATATTACGAGTTTTTTCTCTGGCCAGAAGTTCGATGGCAAATCCTCCCTCTTCAAGTTGGCGATCCAACGACCAACCCGTCCGTGGAGGATCAGGAATCAGAAAGGTAAAATAACTATTTTTTTTGTTTGTTTTTTTTTATTTTACCCGATGTATTCCAACACCCAACCACCATGCACGTGGCCATTGTCAGTTTCACTATAGCCCTGGTGAATTTCAATGGTGAAGTCCTCTGGAAATCTTCAATAATTGTTGTTGATTGCAGATGTGTCTAGTAGTTCCCATTGATTTTGCTTGTAAAGCGGGGAGAATGGCGCTAGGCTTATCGCAGGATGTCAGGAGTGAGTTGTTACTATATTAGGGCAAAAATGGTCGCTTCCAGACTCAGTGATCGTGACGAAAATGATTGTTTTTATTTTATTTTTTTTTTATGATTAACGCTAAATTCATTTAATCACCTCAAACTTATTAGTTTTAGGTATAGATAATGATCCAGATGATTATTCCTTACTGGCTGGATTTTTCCTTTAAATTTGTTATTTCTATGCACCTGTGTTTCTTTAATTGTTCTGCCATTTGCACCTGTTTTACCCTTTAGTTATGGGTTTTGTCCTACTGTCTGCCCGAACCCCTAAATCCCTCAATCACTATATAGAGCGGAGACTATATAGTGAACTCAGTTAACTGACCGGACAGATGATCACTACTTTTTGCTCCCCGTTGGTGACGTAACTCTGCCTCCACCGCGCGGATCTTCTGCAATCTTTGTTACTTATTGCTGGCACAACAAATCCAATGATGCTTTGCAAGGAGAGCTCTCCTCGCAAAGCATTCTGGTATATTACTGCTCATCTAGTGATCACTGATGATTACTACTTTTCAAGGTGCATTGTGGGAAATCTCAAGTTCACTACTTTTTCATCCACTAGACGAATGGACACTCGTATAGAATGATGTAACGGCTATATAGTGATTAAGGTGGACGTTCGTAGGCCAGGTCCACTCAAAGACCAACATGTCAACAATGACAGCGCTGTAGTCCACATGCCAGGTCCCTTGGTGGCGTTGTGACACTATCACAGGATGACTACAAACCACTGGGCATGCGGAGACAATGCTTGGTTAAATAGGTAGATTGAGCTACAATGTCGTCATAAAAAAAGCAGCCTGCAAGAAAACTCTCAGACATGAAGCCGGTAATATCTGTTGTTTTTTTTTTTGTTTTGTTTTTTTATTCTAGGACCCAGTTTAAAAAAAATAATGATTTATGCTTTCCTAAAATGCCGCCTCTGTCTGGATACACAGCTAAAACAACAAATCGTGGCTGTTACATCTAATCTTGTCTCTTGTCATGTGGAAGAGTTTTCATTCGTTTGTCAGTATTCATCAGGCCCTCAGTTCATTTCTATGTCTCTTGTTACTGGTTATCTGTCTAAACCACTTCATTAACTTGCTCTTCATTTTGGTCCAGATGAAGTGATTACTATATATATATATATATATATATATATATATATATATATATATATATATATATATATATATATAT